CTGCAATGTTCCAGGCACTGTACTGGGCCTGTAGAAAGACACAGACAGAACAGTTCCTGGCTCCAAGTCTCTAACTTTCTATGAGTTGACATAGCATACCCCAGGTAGGAGACTTGGCTTCCCCAGCTAACGTGATGAATTCATAGGTACTGGGTGGTTTCTGTTTGTTGGTGTTCCTGATTCAGAAGCAAACAAATACTAGGGCAAAACTGATGAGAAGACATGAAGCCCATGAACTCAGGTCATTTTCTCGATACCAGGGCTTGACCTCAGAATGGGAAATGGCTCTCTAGACAGTTGGAAAGCTGAATGATCTCATTTTTACAGATGATCGGGTTCCAAACATTTAACTAATGTTGGCTCAGTCAAAAAGGGTTCTTTCCTTAAACTCCACCCATACATCTGAAATGTCACCACCATTATAGATGAAATATTCTCAGTGAAATCCTCATAGAAATGTAGCCAGTCTCTTTCTCACAATGATATAGATGTTTGCTAAAGCCAAATAGTCCACACATTTGTACTATATGGCATGAAAAGTAATGGTACCATACTGTACTGATTTGCACATTTGAAAACAGCTAACTTAAGAGCATTTTCCATAAAATGTTTTCCATATTTGCCACATGGGTTTACTGCCCACCCTGTCAAAATCCAATGAGAGAAATACTGTAAGAGTAAGTTGATCAGTTTTCATTGATTCATTATTTTCTAATATGTTTTATACTCTGTATTTCAAATTATTACAGTAAATAGGAACATCTATTTCAAAAAAACAAAACGTATATTATTCACAAATAGATTATTATTATTATTAACAAGTTAATTATATTAATAAGTAACTCAAACTCATAACACAGCTGCCTCTAAGTTGTCATATTTTCCTTCACTAAGGCTATAAATATAATTCAAAGTTTCAGGAATTCAAAATTATATCTAAGGACGAAAATGACTCATGGTACATCACAGAACAAAGTAGTGAGTATGTGAAACAGAGGAAAAGAGCACCAGCTCTGGAGACAATCTGGGTTCAGACTGTGACTGTATTGCTATGTGACTCTGGGCAATTCACTTTTTCTCCATGGGCCTCAGTTTTCTCATCTGTAAAATGAAACATTTGCTATAGAAGCCTCTGAGTTTTTTTCTAGCTCAAGATTTATGAGCCTGTGATCTTATTATGTAGAAAACAGCTCATGTCTCTGCAGAGTTCACTTCTATACCGCACATAGTCATTCCCAGCAAGGTCCAAGTGCCAGGGACATAGGGCCTCATTCCTCTATTTGATATTATCCAGGCAGGAATGAACAAAGTGTTGTGTGCTATAAGAATTGTTCCCAGGTGATGAAGCTCCTACAGGTGCTAAGATGTGTTTAATTTAATCCATTTTTATTAAATTCAATCAGTACTTATTAAATGCCTAGCATGTACCAAGCATTGTGCTGAGCACTGACATGGACAGGTTTTTGGACTCATTGTTATGAAGACTGAATCTAAACTGGAATGAAAGGCAGTGATGTGTCCCAGGCTTACTGCTGTAGGTAAAGCTATCTATAAATTCATCAAATGGCCTCTGACACCTGTATTTTTTTAATTCCTTTCATATTTTAACTATTATTTTCTGTCTTCTTCCGGGCTCTCAGGCTTCCCATTGCCACTTTTTGCATATTGTTTTTAGCACCTCTGACTTTATGGCCTTTCATGTCTCAGGGCCTTCTAAATCAGATCAGTTGGCTGAACAATCTATGAAGCTTTGTTAGGCATTAAGAGTCTCTTGGTGAGTTACTCAAAAAATAATTGGAAACCTGAGATGGGTGTGGGTGCATTAGCTCTGGGTAGTTGTTGTTTTTGAATCAAACCAGTGACGTGACTTCACTTGCACATGAATTGGATTTAAGTGAGGCAGAGTTGCACAAAGTCATCAGCTTCACTCTCTGTATTCCAGAGTCATCAATATCTAGTAGCAAGACAGAAGTCAAGATAACGGGAAATGGCCTGGGATACAGTGGATGACCTCAGAATCTTCAAGGTCTGACCAAGCTCTAAGCACTCCACAGTGCCTGCTTCAGCCCCCTTCATGGCATTGGAACAAATTGTTCTCATCTGCCCATATCACCTAGGGAAGTCTTCATATGCTTGGGGTAGACACCCCCCCCCAACTCACTGATGGGTTTGAGGCCTGTTGGTTACCTTCAACTTGGTTTAGGCCATTTGTCAAGTCATTTTACTGGGGTGTGGTCCCTGTACGTGCTACAGCTTCTGGGAGCCACAAGTGAGAGTTGAGTGACTGGTGGACACCAAAGGTGGATGTGCAGCCCTGAAAAGGGCTCCACTGGCCTCATGCCAGTGGTGGTAGCCCTTCCTGAACACCCCAGGCACCCCAAAGAGATGAAATGACTTGTACAAGGTCAGAGAAATAGGAAGCGGCAGAGGCAGGATTTGAACCCAGGTTCTCTGATTTCAACCCCATCTGGGAAATAAGTTATGCCACCTAAGTGAGATGTTACCAGTGGTGGATGGCTTATCTGGTTTGACAACTAGTTCTCTGAAAAAAAGGTATTCATGACCCATGTTTAAATTTACTCTGGATTATCAATATCTTCTCTGTCATTTAAGACTAGACAATCAGCAAAATAATAAGTAATCCCTGATTTGTAGCATTTGTGCATTTCTGAAGTACAAGTGTTCACAATGAAATTTTAACAACTGGATCTCACAAGCCTACAGGAGCTGGCTCCAGCACACTCCTGGATGCTATCATCTCTCAAAACAAATAACCAAATGAACAAACAAACAAACTATATTCATATGTGTGTATGTATGTGTGTATACATGCACACACACATATATACATATGAATTTTAGTTTTAGAAGGAGCATTCCTTCCAAATTGCTCCCACCTGAAAGCTCTAAATTACATGGGAACCAAAAACAATTTCCATCAGGGAACTTCAATTTCAGAGGTAAGATTGGGCTCTTACTACCATAAATAATAGAGATGAAAAGACAGTGGTGATAAATAAGGGAATTACTAATAACAATTTACATTGATATGGTGTTTTAAAGCTTAGAAGAGCTTAACAAACATTACTTGATGGAAGCCTCAATACAGCCCTGTAAAGTACTGGAGGTAGGATTATTTCCATTTTACAGAGTGGGCAACTGAGGTTTAGAGTCATTATGTGATTTGTCCAGGGTCACCCAGCTGGCAAATTTCAGACACAGAATTTGAGTCCAGACCTCTCTTGACTACAGAGTTCTATCCATTCTGCCATGTTATCATCTTAGTCAACAAATATCATAGCCCCAATGTGAATAGGTAAATAAGAAAATAACAGCAACAATAATAACCAGTATTTATGTAATGATTTGGGGTTTGCAAAGCACTTTACATATGTTATTTCATTTTATCCTTACCAAAACCATGCTTGGTAGATGCTACTGTTACCTCCACCTAACAGTTGAGGAGACTGAAGCAGACAGATTAAGTGACTTGCTCAAAGTCATACAGCTGGTGAGGATCTGAGGCATGATTTGAATTCTGTTCTTTCTGGCTCTAGGTCCAGAATTTAATCCCCTGTGATGCCCAACAGCTATGAAACCTCCATAGTACCATCCAGCTGTACCGTATATATCTGTGGTCCACTCAGAGAGATTATTCCATTTCACTGTTAGCTGTAACTAGACTAGAATATAAAAAAAGACTGCTTTGCTTGCCGGGGGAAACAAAGTGCCTCCCTAGAGGATATTTCAGGAACTTCCCTGTAATCATGGCTTCGTAGGTAACCATACAGTTGCTAAGATCATTGTACAACGGTCATGGATTTGTTGACCACAGAAAAGCTATTGGTTTTCTGTTCCTGAAATACTAGGTATCATTGTTTCTACCAACTCTGAGTCATCCTTATTACTCTCCCATGATTTATGACTGAAAGCATGAAAGATGATGCAAGGAACCTGGATCAAACTCCCAGCTCACGTACACTATAAACCAAATTGTGAAAAGGTTGTAAACGTCACTGTATCAGTTTCATGACCAAAAAAAAAAAAATGAGGAAGTTCAAGAGGGTGGGCAAGAAACCAGCCAGATAAGTTTTATATTCACGTAACTGCCAAAGCAGCATGGATACCATTTTAACTGCGAAAGTATATTCCCTCAGTTTAAATTAATGGCCAGCAATTAAGCAAAGGTGATGGATGACTCTTGTTAGTCAATCTATGCCTGCCATAAGGAGACGGGGTTTATTGACAAACTGTGGGTTTGATGTCATGATTAAGAAAGTTTCAATAGTTCACTTTCCACCCCCACCACACCTCTCCCCAAAGTTGACTTTCCAACATCTTGTTACCACAGAGGAGAACTATGTCCAAAGTGTAATGATTTTTGAATCTTCTTTTATAGGCTCCCAGATCTCCATGGGACCTTAGAGGTCAACTTCTCCAATCCCCCTATTTTACAGATTCAGAAACAATGGCTCAGACAACTGAAGTGGCTTGCCTATGGACTCCCTTAGCCAAAGACCTCATCGTCATCTATTGTTCAAGGTGGATGAGACTGATCATTGGATGACGGGAAATATTCTGTCATCGGGCCTATGCTCAAAGTCTTTCCAACCTTGGAAAAGTAGCCACAGGAGGACGAAATCCCTGACTACTGACAAAATCATCAGCTGTTTAGAACAGGTGAGACCCACATAGCCTAATGACACAGAAAAAGAAGAACAGAGATGCCAGGACAGCAGAGGAAGTCTACAAATTTCTGTAACCCCAGTGTAGTCACTGAGCTTTTTGTGCATTATTACAAAGATACTGAATGCCTTTGGAACAAAGAGTGTCAGGAAAGTTTTCTCCAATGTTGCCATCCCCTGTTTGACACAATAGCATGCTAACACAAACACACACATTTGTGTTCACATTCATACAAACACACTAACAAGTGTTTGAAAGGAAACACAGCTGATCTCAGATGGGGAGACTGGCAAATAACAATGGTGGAGGTTTACCTTTTTGTGGTTCTTGTAAACATTTCTGTGGGCAAATCCCTTGCCACAAAGCTTGCATTTGTAAGGTTTATCTTCACTGTGTATGATTTTGTGTGCGGCCACCTGATCGATTCGTTTGAAGGACTTATTACAAACCTCACAGTTGTAGGGACGTTTTTCTGCAGAAAAGCAGGGGAGAAATTTAATCTCCTGTTTATACAGGAGTACAGGATGAAACAAAAAAGCAGGCCTTCCCTCAGCTACATTTATTGCAAATAAGTTTACCTAATTACACAATTGGAGAATCTCTGGGTTGGCAGGGACCTCAGAAGCAACTAGCCCAACATTCACTCAACATTCTTAAGATTATAGATTTAGAACTGGAAAGGACTTTGACATCAGAGTCCAACTTCTTCATTTTACAGATAAAGAAACTGAGGCCCAGAGAAATTTGCCAAGTGTCACATAGCTAGTATCTGAATGAAGATTTGAACTCATGTCTTCCTGACTCCAAGTCCAGCATCATTCCATCTACTGCGCCACAGTGACATCTAGTGGCCATTCATTCAATGAGCCATTATTAAATTCCTACTATGTGTCAGGGAAGTTAGGTGGTGCCATAGCGGATAGAGTTTCAGGTCTGGAGACAGGAAGACTCCTCTTCCTGAGTTCAAATCTGGCCTCAGACACCTATTAGCTGTGTGACCCTGGGCAAGTCACTAAACTTTGCCTCAGGTTCCTCAACTGTGAAATGAGCTGGAGAAGGAAATGGCATACCACTCTCGTACCCTTGCCAAGAAAACCTCAAATGGGGTCATGAAGAGTCAGATACAGCCGAAACAAATGAACAACAGCAACACTATGTGTCAGGGATACACAGAGAACAACAGAAGCTATGCCTTTCTTCAAGAAGCTTTATATATTAATGGGATTCCACCAACAAGTAGCCATCCACCTTTGTTTGAAGTCCTCCCATGAGTAAGAAACCACCTCCTTCCAAGGTGTCCCATTCCACGCTGGGGTAGTTCTCCCTATTTGGAATTCATTCCTAGATAATAACAGTTGACATTTCTACAGCTCTTTAAGGCTTACAAAACACATTGGCCACATTACCTCATTTGATTTTTCTAACAACCCTAAGAAGGCTGCAGGTATTATTATCCACGTTACAGAAACAATTAGGCTGAGGCTCGGAAAGGTTAAGTCACTTGTGCTGGGTCACAGAGCTAATCGGTGTAGGAAAGAGAATGGAAGCCCAGAGGCCTACTGGTTCTAAGTCTAGGGTTTGGGGTTTTCACCACTGCACAGCTTAAGCCTGCCTCTCTCTACAGATTTCACCCACTCTGCCCTCGGAGGCCAAAGAGTCTTTTGTCTGCTCGCCATGGTAGCCCTTCAAATTCCGATGCCATTTATCATGCTTCCCCATAAGTTTTCTCCTCTCCATGCTAGACCTCATCAGTTCCTCTAGCTTCTTATCCTCATGCAGCCAGTTCTCATGGCTGGTGTCCACCCTGGCCCCTTCTCTGGACCATCCCTAGTTCGGCAATGCCCTTCACACATGCAGTGCCAAGAAGTGAACAAACACTCAAGGGAAGCTAGATGATCCGGAGCCAGGCCTGGAGTCAGGAACACTTGAGGTCAAATACTTACTGGCTGTGTGACCCTGGGCAAGTCATTTAACCTCTGTTTTACTCAGTTTCTTCCTTTGTAAAATGAGTATTGGGTTGTCATAAGGATCAAGTGAGATAATAATTGTAAAGTGCTTAGCACAGTGCCTGGCCCATAGTGGGCACTATGTAAATGTAATCTATTATTATTATATCAGATCCAGGTTGACACATAGCAGAACTTTCCCCTCCCATGTTGAGTCACTAGGTCTCTCCTAGTGAAGCCTGAGATCACATTTACATTAAAAGAGGCAGTATGGTATAGTAGGTAGAGTGCTAGAACTGGAGTCAGAAAGACCTGGGCTTGAATCTTTCCTCATATATTTAGTAGGCATGTGATACTGGGCTGGCCAAGAAATTGTTCTCAGTCTCAGCTGAGTCATCTGTAAAATGGGCACAGTAGTAGCATTTACTTCACAGGCGTGTTGTGAGAATCAAATAAGTCATATACACACCAAAAAATGCAATTGAAATTTGGGTTACCATAATTATCTGAAAGATGTATAATGGCACATGACCATAAATGGACAGTCTTATGCAAAACCATCTCTTTAACCACATTCTGATTAATTAGCTTAAACCAAAAGAACTTCACTTCCAAGGGACAACTTTAAGATAACAAGTGTAAAAGCAGATACAAGTTTAAACACTTTCACATTCAATTAAAACAATTATTTTTATTAGTTTTCAAAATAGTCACGGCCTCGAAGCAATGAATTCAGTTTATAGTCCTTATCGCCAAAATAAATTCTCTAAGAAAACTAACATCAAAGTTTTGATGTCTAAACTTTCAAAGGAAATAAATATAAAAAGAAAAAGTAACTTAAATAATTGAATTCAAAATCATTCCCAAGCCAGGCCTAATTAGAATGTTTTCATTTTTCGAAAAAAAAAATTACGTATGTGTGTGTGTGTGACATACATACAGCTGAGTATGGTAGTGCCCCAATATAATTACTGCTTCTATGGAAGCTGAGGCTGGGGGATCACTTGAGCGTGGGAGTTGGAAGCCACTGCAGTAAGGCTGAGCAGACTTGGTGTCAGCACTACCATGGTGAGCTTTCCAGAGGGAGGAGACTGTCTCAGGAAAGGCAAATCAGTCCAAGTCAGAAATGGAGCAGGTCAAAACTCCCATATGGCTCAATACAGGATTGAGCCTATATGTAGGTGCAGTTACATTTCCAAGCCCAGCAAGATAGAGAGACCCAGGTTCAAAAAACAAAGTATTTCAGGCATTGGAGTGGTCATCAAAGCTTCTGAAAATGATAAAAAAAAAAACTTCCATAAGAATAGCTATATAAATAGAAAAAGGGAGGGGCAGCTAGGTGGCACAGTGGATAGAGCACTGGCCCTGGATTCAGGAAGACCGGAGTTCAAATTTGGCCTCAAGACCCATAACACTTACTAGCTGTGTGACCCTGGGCAAGTCACTTAACCCCATTGCCTAGCCCAAAAAAAAAGTAGAAAAAGGGTGTAACTTACCTGAATGGGTAATCATGTGACGCTTTAGCTGATTGGGAGTAATAAATTTCTTGTTACATTCTTGACATTCAAAGATCTCATGGACCTGCAAAATGAAATGTTAACAGGCATTTAATTATGTGACTAAAAGAACAGCTCCTAATGGAGATATGCCAAAGTCAGCCAACGGTACAATAAAGTTTTGCCTTTGTTATATAACATATAAAACTAAGATATCTCTAATTATTTAGCTCTGCCTTTATTTGTGATGATAGCCTTATAATTGTAACGTAATTTCTGTGGATGTCCTGGTATCTGAACTCCCAGACAGTTTATCCATTGTGTAGTTATTTTGAATGGAATTTATCTCCATTTCTTTTTGTGTTGTTGCTATATCTGGCATTTCTAAAACTATATTAAATGATAGTCGTGACAATGGACATCATTGTCTTACCCTTTATCTGATCGGATGAAAGGCCTTTATTTGTTTTTCAGTCATATGTGACTCTTTGTGACCCCACTTGGGGTTTTCTTAGCAAAGATATTGGAGCAGTTTGCTATTTCCTTCTCCAGCTCATTTTACAAATGAGGAGATTGAGGCAAACAATGTTAAGTGAGTTGCGCAGGATCACACAGCGAGGAAGTGTCTGAGGCCAGATTTGAACTCAGGTCTTCCTGAATCCTATCCTGGCACTTTATCCACTGGGGCACCACTCCCACTGCCCTTTGAAAGGCATTTAGCACTTCTCTGTTACAGATAATATTAATCTCTTGATTTAGATAGATGCTGATTACTTTACTAAGGAATAGTCTATTTCTTCCTGAACTTTTCAATGTTTTTAACATGAAATGGTTTTGTATTTTGTCTAATGCTTCAATTATTGTATCCAGTGATACACTCATGTGGGGGGCAGTTATATTTAATTTTTTTACTCCTTCAAATTTTCAAATTCTTAATCTATTGAATCAAGAGAATGCATAAACTTGTCCCAGAATGCCATAACAACAGACAAAATGGAAGGTTCGGTAAGTATAGTACATTGTTTGCAACTAACAGAAGTTCAGTGAAGTCTGGGAATAAAGCTTATTATCAAACAGTCCACTCTAATTATAGAGCCATTATTCAGATACTCTGCAAACAGACCCTAGGAGTTACTAACCATTTTTATGTGAACTTGAGAACCTAGGCAGATTTAATCACTTATCTGGATCAATAACAGGTATAACAAAGCCCTGGAAGTTTCCCTTCTGTTGCCGAGGTAAAACCTGAAGGCTTTCCTCCATGCTCAAGTGATGCGATTCCATCTTATCTGCTCTAGCAGACTGACCCCTCTATCATCTTTTTTTGTCTGGTTGTTTTTCAGTCGTGTCTGATTCTTCAAGACCCCATAATTCATTTAATATTGAAATTAGTTGATAAAGCAGAATCATGTGGTATTGTTTTTTATATTAATGTGGACTATAACTTTTAAAGTTTTCCCAATATCAAACCAAATTGTGTTTGTGGTGCAAATATAACCTGCCCATAGTGTGTAATATTTTCAATATATTATTGTAGTCTTTCAGCTAAATTTTTATTCATATTTTTGTATTTACATTCATTAGAAAGGTTATCTTATGACTTTCTTTCTCTACTATTTCCCTGGAGTTTAAGCACCAGAAATTTCATGGATTCCATTCTTTCTCAAATTCTACTAACAATTTATAAAATATTGGAATTAATTATGCTTTGAATGTTTAACAGAATTAGGAACACACTTGCATCCCCAGTTCACTCTTTGAGAAGTTCGTTATCACCTGTTCACTTTCTTTTTCTGATTTTGGTGTGTAAATGTTCTATGTCTTCTTCTGTTAATCTGTTATTATTTTCTATTTTTAAATGTCCATCCATTTCATGAAATTCATCCATTTTGTGGACATTTAATTGGGCAAAATAGTTTTGAATTTTTTCAATATTTTCTCTTCATTTGTTGTGGATTTTTCCTTTATTTCTTTTCAATGTTGTCAATTGTGTTTTCCCTCTCTGATTAGTTAATGGTTGATCTATTTTATTCTATTTTTTTCCCTCCAAACCTCGGTCTTTCTTTTAGTTTCAATTCAATATTTTTATTGTTATTTTTTCTCTCTTCTATTTTCTGTCTCTTTCATTTTTAAAATTTGTATTTTGTTCACTTTTTTTTAAATTTGCTGCTTTTCAAATATTTGTTTTGCTTTGTGCCCAAATCAACAATCTCTTCTTTCTATCTTTTTGTTTAGAAATATATGTTTTCCAAATGTTAAAAAAAATTGTTTTCGTATGCAACTGGGAAATAAGATATATAGGCAATGGGGTATAGAAATCTATCCTGCCCTACAGGAAAATTGAAGGGGAAGGGAATAAGAGAACTGGGTTGGAGATAGAAGTGAGGGCAGACTAGGGAAAGGGGTATTCAGAATGCACACTGTCTTGGGGTGGGGGAAGGGACAAGATGGGGAGAAAATTCAGAACTCAAAATCTTGTGGAAGCGAATGTTGAAAACTAAAACTAAATAAATTAATTTAAAAATTTAAAAAAAAAAGAAATATATGTTTTCCCCCAGATGCTTCTTGTTCTGCATTTCAAAAGTTTAAGTATGTGAGCTCATTGTTGTCATTTTTAATGAAATTATGTATTGGTTTTATGATTTGTTCCTTGACAACAATTTTTTTAGCATTACATCAATTTTCACTTAAGTTTGAAACCAACCTTCAAAAGCCCTTCATTGATTGTAATTTTTTACTGCTTTATGATAGATAAAGGATGTGTTTATTATTTCTTCATTTCTACATTTATTTACAAGGTAGTTATGCATTTCTGTAAGAGATTGTTTTCTGGGTATTCACAAGGTATCAGACCAACATTGTATACACCGATTCCCCTGCCCAGTCTACCACACTATCAAAAAAGGAAATGTGGTTAGTAGGTTATGATTTTTTCGAGTGACCTCATGGCTGGTTCCAACTGACAGCTATCTCCCTTTAAAAGTGCTGGTAAAGCACTCGTAAAGTTCACCCATCTACCATTTGCAAAATCTTTCTTCTGGTTTAAAAAAAAATGAGGCAACCTTGTCTTGTATTGACTCTTTAGGCATCTGTTGCATTCTTCACTATTCCTCAGAATTCTTAACAGTGGTTCAGTGATCACATCTGCAATTTTTTTCACTGCTCTGGGATGAAATTTATCCAAGCCAGGAAACCTAAACCTAGTTAAATCATTTTGGTGCCCTCTTATCGTCGTTTTATCTACCAGGAGATTATATTCTTTCAAACACATATACTCTTTCCAATCACAAGATAATAAAGAAGATAAAAGAAAAGCAATAGCTTGATTTCACTTTCTACTGTCTAGGACCATTACATCATCCACTCAAAGCAGCACACCTACCTACTGTGTTCTTGTTAATATTATTAACATATCTAGAAGAGGCCTTGTTATGTTCAGCATTATTCAGAAGGTTCTGGCCCTTGCTATTTCTCGTATGTTATTCTTCCAGGTCCATTTTTTTCTTTTATACCTAACCTTGGTAATAAGTCCCAGATTCCACCTAATATGCATGACCTTTGTGGCACTGAGATCTTTGGAATGTTTCCCTTGAACCTACATTGTTCTCTTTGGACCCCTTACTCTTCATCAGAATAATTAACAACTACAGCATCAGAATTTGATTTTTTTAAACCTCCTATCCCTCTTAGAGATCAAGTATTACTGTTCACCTCATAGAATTGATTGACTATCCTTTCCCTTTCATTCAGTTTGAATTGGAAGCAAGTAAGAAGTTTATAACATGACTTTAGTTCATAATAAGTAGTTGTATTTAATTATATTTATGGAATTATTTATATTTGATTTTATATTTTACATTTTATTTGTTTTGCTTTATATCAATGTTGTTTTCCATATTTGTATATTTTCATTAATTACAGTTAAACTTTGTTTAATTTATTATAATAATTGTTATTCACCTCAGTTTATAATTTTAACTTACACCTTTAGTTTATAATAATCATATATATTATAAATTTTTGTTTATAATAATTAATTCTCCTTTTTGCAGGAAGGAAGAACAATTGAAAATAATAACTTTAATTTATATAATGCTTTAAGATTTGCAAAGAACTTTCTTCGTAACTACTCTGTGAGGCAGGCATAAAAGCACTACCAATCCATGAACAATGTAAACATATGTTAGCTATTTTCATAGGATAGGAGATCTTTGAGGGCCAAGGCTATTTCATTTTTATCTTTGTATCCCCAGTAACTGGCAAGGTATTTGATAAATGCTTATTAACTATTAATTGATTTAACTCAATTAAAATCAACAAACATTATGTTAAACATGTATTTTGGAACACAGTTCCAAAAACTGAATGCCAATTAATAGGTTGGGCATGTACTATGAATAATGTGTAACTAGCAAAAATATTTTCAGTAATTGTAGGTCCTTTACCTATAGGCCAGTGAAAATGTCATAACAGGTAGCCAAAACGATAGTGACAGTAATAAGAAATCATTACTAACCTTTATATAGTTTGAGGCTTTTATTTTACAGCTTTAACCTCATTTGATTTGATCTTTATAAGAATCCTCGTAAGACAGGTGCCATTATTATTCTCATTTTAAAGATAAGGAAAGTATGAATGAGAGCGGTTCAGTGATTTGTCCAGGGGCACACAGTTTAAGTGTCTGAGGAGGATTTGAACTCAGGTCATCTTCTTAATACCCAAAAAGATGCCCAGGTTCATCAGTAAGCAGCATCTCCACTGAAGCAGGGAACAATGCTTTGACACTGTCCAATCATCTCCATGAATTGTTACGGTCATTAGCAGTGAGGAGTCCAAGCTTTGCCAGCTTAGCAGGGTGACCCAGGGGAAAGTGCAATCGAATGGGGGATGTTAACTTGGCATCATTGGACCTGCATGGGAATCCTGGCTTGACCATTTATTTATTCCATGTGACCTTGGGCACTTAATTTGATCTTAATTCCCAGAGGCCTCAGTTTCCTAATTCCACCTGCAGATCATTTATCCTATGATCGTCTTTAATGTGTTAGGATCTTTCAGAGCTTGACGTGGAGTGGGAGGTGGGGAAGGTATAAAAACCTGTCAATGAATTTGGAACCATCACCAAATACTAGGGAAGCTTAGTCTTTAACAAATCACAACAAAAGTAAAATAAATAAACTTCTTTGGATTTTGCTTACTTTCACTGATGCCATCCATATCCTCCCTGGTATCAGGTTATTAGAGGAAATGGAAGGCTTCTGCTCAATCTGATAAACAGGGTATCAGTTTAGGAAACTAGATCTCCTGCACTATGGGGTGTGGGGGTAGACAGAAAGTTAATTTTATGAGCTCTTCCTGTGGGACTGATAAAACTAAGCCCTAGTGACATCATCTGCTAACATTTCTGTACTAAATAAGCATATGAACTCATTTTCAAAGCATATTTTAATATGAAAAATCAGTAAGATAAGTTTTGTATGTATTACTAAGGAATAAGGTTTTTTTCCTGTCATAATTTCTGCCAAAAAAGAGACAGTTTGGGCTCTTGGATAGAGTGCTGGGCTTGAAATCAGGGATATCTAGGGTCAAATCTTGCCCCTGACATAACATGTCCCTGGATAAGTCAGAAATCCTACCTACCTCAGGAGCATATGACTTTCTTACTAAGTCGTATATAAGGCCCAGAACTATGATTTTATTGGCATTGGGAGCTCTCTGAGAGAACTCCCTCTATCAATGCCATTCATTCATTGGTCTACAATTTAGAGAAGTGAACAATTCTGAAAGACTCAAGAACCCTGAAGAATGCAATAATTAATCAAAATTCCAGAGGACCACAGATGAAGAATGCTAGCCACCTCCTGACAGGGAGGACTAGTCAGTCCATTTAGCAATGGACTCACTGCATAGAAAGAGTGTAACATTTGTAAATTGTAAATGTGTAAACATTTAGGGGCATGGCCAACACGAGAATTGATTTTGCTTGACTATGCATTTTGTTACAAGAGTTTTCTTTTTCTTTCTCCCCAGTTAGTGGGAGGGGGAGGAAAAAATGAATATTTGATCATTTTTTAAATGTATTATAAAGGGAGAGCTGAATTTGGATAGAGTCAGGGAACCTGAATTCAAATGCTATTTTTGTCACTTATGGTCTCTGTGACCTTGAAAAAGTTAATTAATCACTCATTATGAGGGTTGGGGGGCAGGAAGAGATGAGAGGAGAAGTTTGGACCAAATGCCTTCTGAAGTGCTTTCTATCATCCTCAGTGGGCTAAGTTAATTTGATCATAAAACTTTCTATCAATATGAAATTTTATTTGTTGTTGATTGATTTTTTAATTGACTTGCACATCCATGCACAATTCGTAAAGATTCTGACATGGTAATTTTTTTTTCAAATTTATCATTCCTTTACTAGAACATATACAATCATTATTAATAAACAGGGTATTTTGTTTCTTTGTTTTCTGGTTTGTTTTTGTCTGGGGTTTTTGGTTTTTCTTTCAGCTCACGTGAGGGTATGAGCTCTGAACGCTCCTAAGGTCTCACAGTGTATCATAGTGAAATCAAAACCTAAGGAGTCTCATCCCCAGTCTTACAAACCTTCCGGTGTTCCTGAAGAGTTGACGATGAAGAACACTTCTTACTGCACACTGTACACATGAGCTTCTTCCTGGAGTTCCCTGAATCAGAAACAAATACAACCATGGGCTTATTAAGGAAACTTAATTTAACACACCCTATGTTCCCAGTAGCTGTGCAATTCCCCCAGAGAATCAGTGCAGTCTCGTGGTTACAGAGCCAGCCTCAGAGCCAGGAAAACCTGTGATTAAGACCTGCCTCTGACGCTTATTGGCACCAACCAGCGCAAAGTCAGCAACTCTTCAACACGCGAAGAAAGCGCCAACCTGCATTGATAAAGAGATGTCCTCATCCCGAGGTTTCCAACATCAATGAAATACCAGGTCCAGTGCCCATCCCTACACAATACGCCTGGGCCAATTGGTTTTCTTTAGGATTGTTAAACCTTTCATGTCTAAAATACATAATTGAGACATTTCTAAATACCTTGTGAATTACAGAAGCCACAAAATTTAGCAAGAGTGCAACTGAAGTCTTTCTTCAGCCAATCAGAACTAGCAACCAAAGCCTTCTTGTCAGCTAACTATTCCTGCTACTTGTTTCTTTATATGCCTCCATGATAGCTAATTTTCATGCGCAAGCGCACGCACACACACACACACACACACACTGCTTAGTCATTTTACTTTTGCTGGGTTCTTTAATCTCTTCAGTAAAATTCTCCTTTAACTTTTAATGCCTTAAATTAGAGTTTGCTGGCACTGACTCATCTTCCATTTAGGAAGTAACAACTCAAAAATTTTGCCTTATAAAATCAACAGTACCATTTAATCACCCTTTAGTCTTCAAATTGTTATACAATTTCTCATTTGAGTCTTACTTGCTTAGATCTTTAAACAGTTATATGCAAATGAGCTAAAGGATCAAAATGCCTTGAATTCTCAAAGGGTCCTCTGCCGTATTTTGGACTCTGAAAATTAGGTATCTTTATAGTTTCATAAGTTTTTAATGAATAAAAGTTATTCATCTGCCCCTTAAGCAAAGGATTCATCAGCCTACATCCTTTACAAAGTGTCTTATCTTTATAGTTATGCCACAGTTCATTTTCTATCTTAAACTGCTCAAATTGCATCTGAAAACATTTTTGTTTCTATATACATACACACACAGACAGAATAAAGATTTTAAAAATATATTACAGTATTAATTCATATAGAAGTTCTGTGTTATTTCTGTCTTTAGACACAAGTTCTGTGAAATATTTGAAAAAGTGCTGGCTTGGGATTCAGGAGAGGCCTGGATCAAAATCCTCCTTCTGACATTTCCAAAGTGGTCAAACACAGATAAGTCACATAACTTCTTATCTGCAGGATGGGAATGATAACTAGAGGGCCTATTCACAGGGTTAATGTGAAGATCAGCTTAGATATTACATTGGAAGTGCTTTGCCAACTTCAAAGCTTTGGAAAATGGTGGCTATTATGATAATCGTTACAGTCTAAGTGGCAATTGACTTCAGACCAACATTTTACCTAATAGTTCAAACTTATAAAATGTAATCATAGACACAATTCACAGAATGAGTTAGAAATACATAAAAAGTGACAGTAAAGGCTAGACCTATATTTTTTACCTTTGTGTGCAAAAGTTCATATTCATAAAATCTAAAAACATTATTAAAGAGCGGCTGAAAACACAAGTTCTTTAAGCCATCAATTTCAAACATCACATGACCAAATTGCACTGAAAATTTGGAACCAGAAAAAACAGGGGAGGGGCTGGGGCAATTTGTGCAGAACAATCATAAAATATTTGAATCTGCCAGGCAAATATCAATTCTCATGATAATGCATAAAACTAGTGAAGGGTCCTAATCCAGATGAATAATCCTTCCTTTTTTCTCTAATAGAGAAAAAAATATGTACATGTATAATTTATTTAGATTTGTCCTTTTACCAATGTTTCAAGTTTATTTTAGACCATGATATCCGTGAAGCTCCTTTATTACAAGACATGTCATTTAAATAGGTCTGTGCAAAAATCCTGGCTCCAGATGATGGCATTTTTAGAGTAGTTTCTACATTGAGACGATAATTGAAAAATAAGAAAAAGAGATAGAGGAAGGCTCTAGTACACTGAATGGCTCCTCCATAAAATACTTTTGGGAGAATATGGACAAGAATTACATGATAGCAGAAGGTGTGGCTGGTCTAGGATCCACGTTATGGAAGGAATAGCCACGTCACTTCTATGGCAGATACATAAATGAATCAGAGTAAAGAACTTCTTATAAGAGACCTCAGGAACCATCTACTCCAGAAGTTCTTAATCTGGGGCACAAGGGAAAGTGGATTGATTTGGGGGTCCATGAATTTGGATGGCAGAAAACGCAACTTAATTTTCACTAACCTTTAACTGAAATTTAGTAATTCCTTCAATTATATATGTGTGTATGTGTGTATATTAACATTTTTGTATTTATCCTCAGAAGGGGTCCATGAACTTTACCAGATAGCAAAAGTGGCCCTACATCACACAGAGGAAGATTAAGGAACCCAGACCTAATCCAAGTCTTACTGAAAAAGGAACCCCAAGTACAATATACCTAACAAAGGATCATATCAAGTGGCCATTGCTTGAAGACTCCAACTGAGTGGGAACCCACCATGGCCCAAGGCAGCCATTCCATTTGTGGGTACCTTCATGTATATTATCTCATTTGCTACAACAGGCACATTAGAGGAAGGTTTCTATGTACCACTTTGCATAAGGCAGCTAGGCAGCATAGTGGATGGAGCACTAGACTTCAAGAAAAGAAGAGTTGAGTTCAAATCTAGCCTCAGACACTAGCAGTGTGAATCTGGGCACTTCACTTAATGTTTTTCAGTCTCTAAATTGGGGATAACAATAGCACCTTCTTCCCAAGGTTGTTCTGAGAATAAAATGAAATAAAATTAGTAAAGTGTTTTGCAAACATTAAAGAGCTATATTAAAATACTACTACTACTACTACTACTACTACTGCTACTACTGCTACTACTACTACTACTACTACTACTACTACTACTACTACTACTACTACTA